CCATGACTACTTTGACAATGTAATAGCGATATGTTCGATGTAATTCACGCTTAACCAGACCAAAAATTTCTATAATTCTGTCCTGCACAGTGGTTACTGTAGAGGTACAAATTTTCAATGCTAGGCAAAGCGTAAATATTCAAATAATCCAATAGGAAGGGGCAAACTTTGTCTGGTTCTTTCTTAGCAAGGCCTTCATGGTATAGGTACAACATAGCAGTTCCATCACCAACATTATGAATTGAGAATGGAAGCACAAGAAGTAGGCGATAGTTGCCTAAAATGGTATGGCCTTCCAGGCCCAAGGAAGTGAAATATTCTGCATATAATCGAATGTTAAACAAAGTGATGTGCCCTTACTCGCTTTACATAGTTATGTTGTATTCCTTATAGATTTGTAAAGTTTGTTACACCGTTTTTTGTGGACAAGCAATTTGGCAGCAGCAACACGTTTTGAAGTATCGTGTTGTGTTTTTTCAGTCTTAACGTTAGTCCTTCACATTGACAGCACTTGTCCACTTGTGGCCGTCCAAAGCAGTAGTTAAACTTCTCTTTAAAAATTTTATAATATAATGGATATACTACTTTTGGTCAGGTTACCTAGTTTTAAAAAGATCATACATAATTTTTATGTTCAGGGTTAAATAAATATATTTGACTTTTTGCATAGACTAATCACTTTTTTAAGCGAAAACATTGAATGTGATGCGTTATTTGAGCAACAGTGTTGGTAGGAGTTGTTTTCTTTTTAGTCTGCTGCCCTCTCTTATCTTCAGAAGTTTAGAAGTTTTTCTCAAAAGTAGTAAATTTTGTAAGCGATTAATTTTGATTGATGTTACTTCATGGAAGCTTTCAAACGCTTTCTTGCAGATCATTATTTTACGTCCTCCCAAATGAACGTTATAAACAAATGAGCTGGTTCTCCCTGTAAATGATCTTTTCCTGTTGTTCTCTAATTTTCTTGGTCTTAGACTCTCTATGTAAATATATTGTTCTCTTTTTCGGTCTTGAAGGAATATATTTTCTTCAAAATGTCCTGACGCTGCTCTGTCTAAATCGCAACCCCTAAAATTGCAACCACCGGTCGTAGTTGCAAAACGGCCTAAAGAAGGATAACGTGCGAGGTATCTTTGAATAGGGTATGAAAAATAGGGTTGAACGCAGTATGTGCCGTGCGCATCAGAGCATGTCAAACGGGCATTATATTGTATCTACGTTTCTATTGGTCCGATCATGACGTACGAGGGCTCGTTGGAACGGGGAGGAGGTAAAGAATACGATGAGACAAAAACAAAGATGGTGGCATTGCCAAATGGGCGCTATAACGTATCTTCATTGCTATTTCCCTGATTTGGACGTATGGGGTGTCAAATGAAAGCAGTGGTGACACAGAAGCCATCTGATAATTCTTCTTCTGTCAAAGTTCAATATTAACTGTCAATTCTTCTTCTTTTGTGACATTCGACGCAGGATGTGACATTTGACGAAACAATTGTTTTATGATTTGTATATTAATTAAAATATTTGTATTTTTTTTTAATGGGTTAATGCCTCGACCACTATGATCATTGGCATGGTACAGTCAGGTACCTAGTATAGTGTGTGTGTGTGTGTGTGTGTAGAGTAATTGTCTTGATACTTAGCAAAGTCGACGTCATTGTCTTTGCTAAGAGACACTAATTGTATCCGAACGTCTGCGGCCCCTCTGGTGAGTACCGATCGCACAAGGATAGAAATTATTTTCAATAATTAATTTTTAATAAATGAAAATTTCTCCACCCAGATGAGATTCGAACTCACGACCTTTAGGTTTAAAGGTTTAGGTTTAATGTGAGTTTAGTTAATAGGAATTTTCATTCCGTATATAATTTTGTTTTTATTAATTTCGTTACAGATATTTACCAGAGATTTACTTTGGAAGTTATACGTAGAAGTTTGTAGTTCGTTTTTCTTGGGGCTGTTCCATAGTCACCAAACACTTTTCATAATTCTTATTTGGCAAGAACTCTGCTCACTTTCACTGCAAGAATAAAACAACGTGCTTCTTCCGACATTCAAATCACAGTAATCTTCCTTTTCCCGGACAGAACTTGACTTCCTTCACTTCAATCCCTTCTTCTCCTTTTCATCAATTAGATGCACACATCCTACATGCCACGTCATCCCTTTCGACTAATCAAATTCTGTGACTTGTCAAACACAATCTCAATGCTATTCTGATATCACATAACCTTGGTATTTCCAAATTTTACACAAATAAGATGTTTCCTTTGTGTATAAGTTTCTAGAGACAATACAGCTAATACTTCGCTTATTGTATACTTATCCCTGACCACAAAACTTTTCAATTCTCTGTCCAATTTCTTTGTAAACAAAAGAATTAAACCTTATATTCTAAAATTACTATCTTTGAGCTATTAACATTAATCATTTATGAGAATTCATCTATTGTTTTCATACATTAACGTATAAATATCTATTTTTTTTATCTGCCTTCTTCTTCTTTGAGTACCGTGCCCAAGTTCGTGGGTTGTTTCCATGACGATTTGCCGATATCGTTCTTGATCTTGCGTGGCATGTAATAATTCATCTGCTGGTAAGTTGTTCTATTGACGATGGTTTCGAAACCATGGGTATTTCTTCCTAGCAATTGCTCTTTTTCCGTCAATCTTTCCATTGAATATCAACTGCAATATCCTGTATCTGCTTCCTCTCATTATCTTCTTCTACTTCTTCTTAGCCGTCTGTCGTCCATGTTTGGACATAGGTCTCTTCCAACTCCTTCCATCGGTCTCTATCCTGAGCAACATATTTTCACTTTGTTCCGGCTATTCTTTTAATGTCATCAACCCATCTCATCTGTGGTCTTCCTCTTGGTCGTTTACTTTCGTAAGGTCTCCAATATTGTATTGTAGTTTTCCAACGTTGGTCTTTCTGTCTAGCAGTGTAGACCGCGAAGCTCCATTTAAATTTGCCAATTTTTGTTGTTATGTCCTCGACTTTTGTTTTGGATCTTACCCAGTCATTTCTATTTTTATCTGACAGTCGTATACCTAACATTGCTGTTTCCATTGTTCTTTCTGTTGTGGCTAGTTTATTTATGTTTGCCTTGGTTAGGGTCCAGGTTTGACATCCATATGTCATGATAGGAAGGATGTATTGGTTAAACACTTTGCTCCTCAAGTATTGGGGTATTTTGCGGTTCTTAAGTATCCAACTAAGTTTTCCAAATCCTACCCATGCTAGTCTTGCTCTTCTAGTAATTTCCGCACTTTGGTTCTCTTTGTCAAGTCTCAGGATTTGGCCTAGGTAGATATATTCCTGAATTTGTTCTATCTCACTGCCGTTTATAGTTATATGTCTTTGGTCACCTGTGTTTGTCATTATTTTTGTTTTTTTCAAATTCATTTTTAGGCCGACGTATTGGGAGCTGGCTGCTAGTTCCCCCAACATAATTTGCAGTTCCTCGAATGTGCTCACTATGTCGTTAGCGAATCTGAGGTGCTTTAACTTGTTGCCATTAACGTTAATGCCATAGGTTGACCAATTTGTAGTTTTGAAGACGTCTTCTAGGGCTAGGTTGAAAAGCTTTGGCGATATTACGTCTCCTTGTCTCACTCCTCTCTTAATGGGGATGGGATTTGTATTTTCATCTAGTTGTACTATCTCCCATTATATGCCGCAGATATTCGAGTTTTCTCTTTTTTATCATCTTTATTAAGTCACCTTCACCTTGACCTACTCTGTTCAAGACTTCTAGTTTTGAAATGTGTTGAACCCATGATATTCTGAGCATTCTACGATATAACCACATTTTGAAGACTTCTAACTTATTCATCATGTTAACCTTCGGGTTACATAATCTGCATAATCCGATTTTCACATCCCTACACATCTACATCCCTGTAAGTGATAATTACTCAGAATAGATCCAAGTTTCATAAGTGCTCCTCTTGCAATTTCTATATGAATTTTAATTTCTTTATCCGGGTTTAGTGTCTCGTTTATCCAACCACAAGGTCTTGTTTACTAACCACAAGTATCTTTGTCTTTGTTGTATTTATGCTTAGTTCATTAGAGCATTCTCTAGTGACTTGATCTATAAGGAATTGAAGATCTTCGATACTTTCAGCCATGATCGCAGTGTAATCTGCATATCTGATGTTGTTAATAGTTTTTCCCCCAAGTTGAACTCCATATTGCCCTTCCAAGGCTTCGTTAAAAATCATTTCTGAGTAAACAAATTTTGTCTGCTTCTTTGCCGTCACCAGAATAAAAGCTTGTTGATTCCAATATAGATGTTGTAAAAGTCTCAGATCTTTATCATCTATTCCAATCATTTCTAGATATTCAAACACCCTACCATGTTAAACCCTATTAAACGTCTTCTCAAAATCTATAAAACAGACGTAAATTGGTTTCTGTACTTCCCATGATCCTTAAAGTAGTGTTAATATTGAGAACAAAGCTTCCCTTGTTTCCAACCCTTCACTGAAACCGAATTGTTAATTTCACATTGTGTCTTCACATTTCTGCTTGATTCTATTAAGAATTATCTTAAGAAATAGCTTGAAAGAGTGACTCATGAGACTAATTAGTCTAAAGTCTTTACATTATGATGTATTAGGTTTTTTTGGAAGTGGGATAAATGTAGACTCCAACCATATTTGTGGCAATGTTCCAGTTTTGTATATGTGGTTAGTCTCTCTGCCTACTTTCTACTAAATTAGAGAATCCATTACACACAATAGATGAAGGAAATGACAGGAGGCTGTAAGGTATAAAACTGGAAGAAATAGGAAAAGGATGAATATATGTCTGTGGCGCTCTTATAAGGCATAAGGAATGCAAGAAGGATGAAAGAGTTAAATAAACTAAGTAATTTCCTTTATTTTACATATTCTTTCATATAGATGTTTACTTTCTACAATTAATGATCACAAAAGAGCACTGTGGTTCATCTTTTTAAATAATCTTCTATCTTAGTAGAAAAACTTATTTTATTTATAATCAGTTGTCGATTTGGTCCCATTTTCAGTTTCCCGAAAAATTTTGAAATCAATTGTATCAGGTGGTTTTTGCGTTTCCATAGTTTGACTTCCTTGAGTCACATTCGATTGCGATCTGTTTTCGATTGGTGGTGGAGGCTCAGTGTGGGTTACGGGGAGTTCTGGTTTGAGTACTGTCGTTTCTGATAGTTTATTCTCATCTGACGATTGGATATTTACCGAGTCTTCTAGATTTGTAAGTTCCGAGGAAGGGTTATCGTGTTCTATCTCTACTTGGGGTGGAAGACCTAGGTCTGCATTATATTGAACGGGGATAATAAAGCGATTGGTTTTACCGATATTACTTCGTACAGTAGTATTATTTTTATTTTTAGATTTTTTTCCATTCTCTTTATACGTTTGTTTTTCCTTTCTTACATTTCCTTTTTTGGGTTTATCTTCATCTTTGCTTTTATTTTTGTTTAACTTACCATTTCTGCTTTTAGTCTTTTTTTTATCATGCATATTCCTAATTTTACTTTTCGGTTTAAGAGAAGTTCTTGAGCTTGGTGTTATTGCTTCTGCAATTGCGTTTTTCCCATGTAATAATTCATCTTGGTTATTATCTTCTAGTTCTTTGTCCCCAAGGTTGTGAGGGTTTTTTTCAGCATGGTTTCCTAAAGTATTGGTAACATTAATATTTTTTTCTACTACTTTGTCGTTTTGTAGTTTATTTGCCATATCATTTTTTAGTGTGTCAGTGCCATTGATATTTGCTGCAGATACAGAGTTATCGCTTTTGTCATCTTCTATCTCTTTATCTTCTGTATTTTTTAATTTTTTCTCAATATCATCTTTATTGTTTACCTCAGGTATAACTTCATGTTTTTCATTATCTCCTAGTTCTTGGTCTTCTACATTTTGATCTTCTTTGTCAGCATCGTTTTTTACAGTGTTAGTTTTGTTGTTATTTGCTTTAGACAAAATTTGATCTGCTCTTTGCTGTTCTACGCTATCATTATTGTGTACAGTGTTAGTGTCATTGGTAGTCGTCACATTTGCATTATGTTCCAATTCTCTGTTTTCCAAATTTTCTGGTGTTTCTTCACCATCAATATCCTCTTGTAATTCAGGTTCATTTTCTTCGTCTTTAAAATTTTCTTGTTTTTCATCGTCAGGATCTTTTAAAGTGTTAGTCTTATTATTTTTTATAAATTCTTCTGTTTCATTATGTTCTGATTCTTCCTTGTCAAGAGTTTCTGGTGTTCTATTTCCATTATTATTTGTAGTATTAGTGTCATTGGTATTTGTTGCAGGTATAACTTCATCTTTTTCATTGGGTTCTAATTCTTTGTTTTCTAGATTTTCTGGTTTTGCATCACCGACATTATTCTCTTTTTTACCAGGTTGTATTTCTTCGTCTTCCAATTTTTTTTGGTTTTCATCGTCGCCATTTGTAGAAGTATTAGTCTTATTGGTATTAGTATCATTGGTATTTGTTGCAAGTATAACTTCATTTTTTTCATTGGGTTCTAATTCTTTGTTTTCTCGATTTTCTGGTTTTGCATCACCGACATTATTCTCTTTTTTACCAGGTTGTATTTCTTCGTCTTCCAATGTTTTTTGGTTTTCATCGTCGCCATTTGTAGAAGTATTAGTCTTATTGGTATTAGTATCATTGTTATTTGTTACAAGTATAACTTCATTTTTTTCATTGGGTTCTAATTCTTTGTTTTCTCGATTTTCTGGTTTTGCATCACCGACATTATTCTCTTTTTCACCAGGTTGTATTTCTTCGTCTTCCAATTTTTTTTGGTTTTCATCGTCGCCATTTATAGAAGTATTAGTCTTATTGGTATTTGCCATAAACTCTTCTTTTTTGTTCTGATCTAGTTCTTGGTCTTTTAGATTTTCTAGATTTTTATCACCGATATTTTCTAAAGTGTTACTGTCGTTGGTATTTTCAATCATCCTGAATTTATGTTTTTCGTTATCTTTTATTATTTTATCATCTACACTTTGTATTTTTTTCTCGACTTCATCTTCTAAAGTTTTATTTTCATTGCTATGTGTAGCTAACGTTGGTTTGTGTTTTGCGTTAACTTCTAATTTTTCATCTTGTTTGTTATTCTTCAGTTTTTCATCTTCTACATTTTGTGTACTGCTCTCAGCATTATCTCCTAAAGTTATGTCATTGATTTTTGTACTGAGATTCAACTTATCGTTTTTGCTATCTTCAATTTTTTCATCTTCTGCACTTTGTGTTTTTTTCTCAGCGTCATGGTCTAAAGTTTTATTGTCATCGGGATTTTCAATCAGCCTCCAGTTATGTGTTCTGTTATCTTCTATTTTTTCATCTTGTGCACTTGGTGTTTTTCTCTCCGCTTCATCTTCTAAAGTTTTATTGCCATTTTGATCAGCAGTGAGCTTCAATTTATCGTTTTTGTTATCCTCTATTTTTTCATCTTCTACACTTTGTGTTCTTTTCTCAACATCATGTTCTAAAGTTTTATTGTTATCTCCATTTGAAGCGGACGACAACTTATCTTTTTTGTTATCTGCTGTGTTTTTGTCTTCTGCACTCTTTGTTTTTCTCTCAGCATCATCTTCTAAAGTTTTATGATCATTGCTATTTGCACTGAGCTTCAATTTATCTTTTTTGTGATCTTCTATTTTTTCATCTTGTGCACTTGGTGTTTTTCTTCCCGCTTCATCTTCTAAAGTTTTATTGTCATTTCTATTAGCAGGGAGTTTCAGTTTATCGTTTTTGTTATTTTCTATTTTTTCATCTTCTATACTTTGTGTTCTTTTCCCAACATCATGTTCTAAAGTTTTATTGTCATCGCCATTTGCAGCGAACTTATCTTTTTTGTTATCTTCTGTGTTTTTATCTTCTGCACTTTTTGTTTTTCTCTCAGCATCATCTTCTAAAGTTTTATTGTCATTGTTATTTGCTGTGAGCTTCGGTTTATCTTTTTTGTTATTTTCTAATTGTTTATTTTCTGAACTTTTTGTTTTTTTCTCAGCATCATGTTTTAAAGGCGAAGTTTTCTGGTGATCTGATATAAAAGCAGTTCTTAATCGTGTATGTTTCTGCGGTGTCTTAGTTTTTTTTTGTTTATATGATTTAGGATCGTTTAGTAATTGGTTTATTTGTGTTAGCATTGAAAGTATTTCTTTTAACACATGTTCTTTTACTAAAATTTTTCCTTTAGGACTAAGTAGCAATTTGTCGACTTTTTTATGGGAACTCATATCTTGAACTGGTTGTGGTAAATCATCATGATATTGGTCATTATCTAATTCTACTTCAGCCAATATATCACCTAATCTATTATAGTTGTCTTGAAGTTGTAGATATTGATCTATCGTATTTACGTCAAGTAGATGTGGTTGTTGAATTCCCATATTTCTAGGTTTTTGTTCAACATCTTTTTCTGAAGACATTTTATTGTCGTAGGTGGTTGCATTTTGGGAGGATTGTTTTACATTGTCTTCATCGTGACCAAGTTCTTCATCCTGTAACATATCGTCTAAACTATCTAAGTAACTGTGTTGTAGTTTCAGAAGCTGATCTATTACTTTCAGGTCACGTAAATGTTTTTCTTCATTTTGCAAATTTAATGGTAAATATTTAACATCGCTTTCGAGATGAGACTTCGTATTATTCTTATCAAAACTTCCTCCTTGGGGGAGTTTTTTTAAGTCGTCTTCCATATTTTCGTCATTCTGGCGATCTTCGACATGAATCAGATCTTCTAAACTGTCTGCGTAACTTAGTTGAATTCGAATAAATTGATCTATTTTATCTAGTTCCAATATGTTTTGTGCCTGATCTTTCATAGCTTGTTGGTTATCTATGGTATTATCTGCCAAAGTTTTGTCTCTTATTAGAGAGTCGAACGAGTATTTTGTAGCTCCCATGTATTGTTTTAATTCTTCTAAAATATTTTTCATATTTTCTAGTAAGTCAGTAATTGTGTCAACATTGTTTCCATTTATAGGTGAGACCAGATCTTTTTGTTTTAATTCGGTTAGATCGATCAGCTGATGGTTTATGTATGTCACTTTCGGAATTATGTGTTCCAATATATTTTGTCTTGTGGAAAGTATTCCTTTTCGTCCAGAAGATTGTTGTTCGAAGTCATTATTAGTATGTTTCTCAACATAAAGTTGTTCGGCCTCAAACATATCGTACAGTCTATCTACGTAACGTTCTTGAACACCAATGAGTTGATCTAATATGTTTACGTCGATTGGATTTTCTTTTTGGTCTTCCGTATCTTGCAGAGTGTTATTATCGTTTTGTGATGGCTTTTCAATAGAGCTCTCATTTTTGAATGATCTGTTTAAATCTTCATCGTCTATATTTTCGGTATGGATTCCTTCGGCTTCAAATATTCCTTGTAAACTATCTGCATAGCTCTCTTGAAGACGAAGAAGTTTATCCATTTGATTAACGTCAACTCGAGTTTGTTGTTGACTTTTTTGATCTTCTGGATTACCAAGATTGTCTTGTATGTTATCGCCATTTGGTAATGGTATATATTTGTCCTCACCAACATATGTTTTTAGTTCCGATAAAACTCTCTTCATGTTTCCGAACACGTCAATAATATGGTGTCTAACATCGTCTTTTAAATGTGATTGAAACCGTTTTTGTTTTATTACATTGAGAATCTTCATTAGTTTATTTATTTGCTGTAGTTTAGAAAGTACATTTTTCAACAGATTATGCTGTGGTCCTTTTACTTCTTCTTGGAACGGTTGTTTTAAAGAATTATCGTTGAAAAGTGCGATTGCTTGAAACCTATCGTCTAAACTATTCAGATAATTTCCTTGAAGTTGGACAAGTTGATCTAGTGTGTTCACGTTAAGTGTAAGTTGTTCTTGATCTTCCAGGTTGTCTGGTATCTGTTCAGCATCGTTTTGTATGGAATCTTGGAAAGGCTTTTGAAAGCTCTGTAAATATTTGTATAAATTTTCTTCATTATCGTCAGGTTCAATGATATCTTCTAAACTATCTGCATAACTTTCTTGTAGTCGCAGAAGTTGATCGATTTGCTCAAACAGCAGATGTTGTCCTTTACCTACCAATTTTTGTTTCGCGAAAAAAAAGATAAAATTGTAGTTTTTTCAAGGCTTTCTTCATTTTTTCTAATAAATGATTAACATTTTTTCTTTTTTTATCATTTAAAGGCGACTCAAAGTGTTTTTGCTTAAATGCATTAATATCCTTCAGTATTGTGTTTGTAGGTAGTAATTTGGAAAGTATTTGTTTCACATTTGTTTCACGAAATGACATATCGTCTGTTGTAAAAATTGATTCGTTTTCAGAGGATTCGCTGAAGAAGTTGTGTTCTTCTCTTTCCAGGTCCAGGAATTTGTCATCAATAAAGTCTTCGAATGGTTTAACCTCATTTTCATTGTTTGAACTTGGTTTAAACTCATTATCATTATTTTTATTGGGCGATTTGTCCTTTAGATTGCCTGGATCCTTTTTTATAAGGTTAGTAAGTTGATCAAGCTTTTTACTGTCGAGTAAATTTTTCATAAGTTCCTTTATTTTTTGAAGAGGCTCTTTTGGGTGTTTAAATGTTTTAAAGGTGCGTCTTAAATATTTATTTATAACTTCCCTGGTAGAAAATGGTTCAGCTGATGTATGGATAAGCTCTATATCCACTGTATGTTGTTCTTTAGAACTAGATATAATTTTCAATATTAATGAACTATTCCCGAATTTAAAACGTTTGACTATAACGAAATTAATCTTCCCATGTCTGTCATTCTGTTCATCTATTAGTTTCAACATTTCTCTGTCATTTTGATGTTTGAAGATTATGTTGTTAACAGTGTTCATCAATTCGTGGATCACTTCTAAAACAGTTGGTTCTTTTATGCCAAAATAAAAATTATTTAGATATCCTGCTGTTATGTAGTTACGTAAATTGTACAAATCGATTTTCATATCTGGTGACAAATATGTATTTGCCAAACTTTGAACATATTTTAAGAATAATGGTTTAATTTCCCTTCGTTCAAACCAATTTAAGTCTTCCAGATGTTTGTTTAAATACAGTATGTTAAAAAATATCTGCTGTAGCACATTATTATCAATTTTAAATGGTTCATATAAACAAGGTTCCCTTAAAATATTGTCTTCATTTCCAATATCATTAGGATTATTGAGCTGTTCTAAATTGTCACGAAGACCAACCGAATCTATGCTTTGCAGGTTACGCCTCACTCTAGTAGTTTTCTTGTCTTTTTTGGAATGTTTATTTATATCTTTAAATGTTTTATAGATATCGTAAATATATTTATCAATATCTACTAAAAAAATTTTTTCTGGAGACTTATGGTTGACTTTTATCTTTAGCGTATGTTCACGTTCGTTTGAATTCGAGTTTACTTCTACATTAAATAAACCTTTTTCATCTATAAAATGTTTGTTTAGGACAAACTCTTCCCAGTTTTTATTATCATCAATATTGCTAGTTTCATATATACCTGTGTCTTTTATGAACTTCACAGGTCTTCCAGTCAGAAAACTAGATGGTGTTAGAATCCAACCTACGGGAAGTACATTCTTTATTCTTGTGTTTATAGTGGGTTTTTCTAAGTTGTCTTCCAATAGTCTCACTAAAGTTCTAAGAGTCCTTTTTTTAAATATATTTTTAATCCCTTCCCATATCGTCTGACCTATAGCATTCTGAGCTGTATTCTTAAGTACTTCCTTGACCGCTCCTCCTATAATTCCTAGAATAGACCTTGGATTTGTCGTGTTTATAGTAAATTTTTTATTGGTGTCTTCTAAAAGCCTCACTAAAGTTCTAAGAGTCCTTTTTTTAAATATATTTTTAATCCCTTCCCATATCGTCTGACCTATAGCATTCTGAGCTGTATTCTTAACTACTTCCTTGACCGCTCCTCCTATAATTCCTAGAATAGACCTTGGATTTGTCGTGTTTATAGTGGATCTTTCTTTACTCAAAGTAATCAATTTTTTAATACCTTCATACATCATGGAACCCGCTGCGGACTCAGCTGCATATACAAATGTTCCAGCTAGAAACTTTGATACTGTGAATCCTATAAAAGATAAAAGTGCTAGAATCGATCTTGTACCTGTCGTGGATATTTTTTTCATGGTGCTCTCTTGGTTATATAACTCTGCACCCAATTGTGTAGATTTTTTTTTTGAGTTATTTTCTTGAGATTCATCCTGATTATTTAACTCAGTACCTGATAGAATGTTATCTATAGTGGATTCTTCTTCGAAGTCTTTCACTAGTCTCAGTAAATCTGTAACACTTCTCGTTTTAGATGCATTTTTTATAAGGTCACTTACAGCTGAGCCGACGAATGTTAGAAACATATGCATTAGTGAGAGAATCCTTGTATTGACCGCGACTTTTTTTTCAAGGTTATTTTGTTGAAATTCATTATGTTTATATAACTCTGCATCTGATAAAATGGTATCTATAATAGGTTCCTCATCGAAGTCTTCCAATGACCTCAGTAAATCTTTAAAACTTCTGTCGCCATATAGTTTTTGTACACCTTCACCCACAAATGCGTCGACGATTGATTGGAATATACCCATAAAGAATGAACCAATACCCCTTGTATTGATCATGACATTATTTTCAAGGTTATTTACATCCTGATTATTTAACTCTGCATCTGATAGAAAGGTATCTATAGTAGATTCTTCTTCGAAGTCTTTCACTAGCCTCAGTAAATCTGTAACACTTCTCGTTTTAAATGCATTTTTTAAAAGGTCACTTACACCTGAGCCGACGAATGTTAGAAACATATGCATTAGTGAGAGAATCCTTGTATTGACCGCGACTTTTTTTTCAAGGTTGTTTTGTTGAAATTCATTATGTTTATATAACTCTGCATCTGATAAAATGGTATCTATAATAGGTTCCTCATCGAAGTCTTCCAATGACCTCAGTAAATCTTTAAAACTTCTGTCGCCATATAGTTTTTGTACACCTTCACCCACAAATGCGTCGACGATTGATTGGAATATACCCATAAAGAATGAACCAATACCCCTTGTATTGATCATGACATTATTTTCAAGGTTATTTACATCCTGATTATCTAACTCTGCATCTGATAGAAAGGTATCTATAGTAGATTCTTCTTCGAAGTCTTTCACTAGCCTCAGTAAATCTGTAACACTTCTCGTTTTAAATGCATTTTTTAAAAGGTCACTTACACCTGAGCCGACGAATGTTAGAAACATATGCATTAGTGAGAGAATCCTTGTATTGACCGCGACTTTTTTTTCAAGGTTGTTTTGTTGAAATTCATTATGTTTATATAACTCTGCATCTGATAAAATGGTATCTATAATAGATTCCTCTTCGAAGTCTTTCAGTTGCCTCATTAAATCTATAAGACTTCTCTTTTTAAATATTTTTTTGATTGGGTTACTTAATGTTCCAATAGATCTCGTATTTGTTTCAACTTTTTCTTTAAGGTTACTTTCTTTGGATATGTCTGGTTTATCTAATTGTTTACCTACAGGTGTAGTATTTATAGTTGATTCTTGTTCAATGTCTTCTAGTAGCCCCACTAAATTTCTGAGACTTCTCTTTTTAAATAGAGTTTCGATGCCGTCATATATATCCTCTCCGAGGAGTGACTTGACGGCTGACCTTAATGCTCCTAAAAGTATGTTTCTAATACCTCTTTTATTTGATGTGGATTTTTTTAAGTTTTTTTCTTGTGATTCGTTTTCGTTATCTAACTCGGTACTTACTTTATCTTTAGTTGAGAATGTATGGTCTAAAGGTTCAATTGTTTGGGGTAGTTCCGCATCTTGTGTGGATTGTAAGCTAGACTGTACTCTATCTACATCATTTTCAGAATCTTTTGCCAAATTTTCGTTAGCAGCATTCCCTTGATTACCTAGAATTTTGGGCGTGTTTTTAAAAATATCTTCGTTAGGTGTATTATTAATACCATTTGCTGTGTCTTCCTCATAGCTTAAATTCTTTTGATAGTTTTCATGATTTGTATCTTCTGACGGGACAAATGATATATCTGCATTGATGAGCAAAGGTCCCTGGTCATGTCTTATAAAAAATCTTTTCCATTTTTCATTCAAACTATCTGCATTGTCATCTTTTGCAGTGTATAAATTTTTATGATTTTCTGGGTTTTTGTCATAGTTGATCCTGGCAACATCTAGAATGTGGCTATCATCTACAACTGCGCTTGTTTTGGGTTCATTTCTATTTACACTCAAATCTGAAGTAAACATATAGTTATGAAAATAACTAGGTACCACATAGTATACTGGTGCATAAGGTACCATATAGTTTACTGGTAAATAAGGTGACGGTTTATTGTTTTCTACATAAAAGTTGTAAGGATTTGTTTCTGCATCTTGGTTTGAATTGATATAGCCCAAACCATACCGATCCTAAAATCAAATATTTTTATATAAATCAGAGTTTATTACATAATAAGCAACAAACAGTTATACAAGACCTTAATAGACCGGTGTTGATAAATGGGGCTGAAACATGGACCTTATCTCAAAATAATGAAAGACTTCTTGGTATTTTTGAGAGAAAAATTCTTAGAAAGATTTTTGGAGTTGTAAATGAAAATGGGCTATGGCGTCGAAAATACAACTTTGAACTATATTAGTTATACACAGATCCAGATATTGTGAAATTCGTTAAAGTGCAGAGACTTAGATGGGCTTGATACTTTGCTAGATCACGAATACACGAATAGATTAACATTTTCAAAACCAGAGGGCATAAAAGCCAGAGGACGATTACGAAGGAGATGGGTTGATGATGTGGAAGAAGAATTACAGATTCTAAGGGGCAGAAGATAGAGAGAAGTTGCCAGGAATCGATAGGAGTGGCGACTTCTGTGTGAGCAGGCCAAAATCCACAACGGATTTTCGAGCTACTTATGATGAAGCAACGAAAAGAATGAGAGACTTGAATAGAATTTAAAAAACATGTTTATGAATATAGGGTACGGGTAGGAACTCTTTTTTGGATAGTCCTATCAGGGAAAGCGAATCAATCCCTGCCTCCGCAGATTCCAGGTGTTTCCTGACCCGGGAAACTAGTACCTGCTAAGGGTTCCTTGTCCCGGGTCACGGATGAAGTCTACAATGGCATCCAGGGCGGAAAAGAAGCTCTTCACAACGGTCTGGAGGACGAAAGTGGCAGCCCCCTGGTTTTAGGGCTTGTTTAAAATCGAAGCGTAGGTAAGACTTTTTAGCTGTAGTGGAAGCAACTCTCATAGGAGAAGGATACTCTGATGTAAAATCCCTAGCCCTCCAGGTTGGGGGTTGAGACACTGGGTCAACTTCTCGGTACTCATAAAACATATACAATGTTAAAAAGCCTAACCAAAGCCTCGGAACAAAAGATTGGAAACACAGTAGACAAAAACAGCAAAGAAACTGGTTAATGAATTTTTGTACATGGAATGTGCAAGGTATCTCCCGAAAAATACCAGAAATCATGTCAGAACTCAAAAATGCAGAGATAGATATCGCGGTGCTTACAGAAACTAAAAAGAAGGGTATGGGTTCTGAGAAGTAAGGTCATTATGACCTGTTCTATAGTGGAGTAACTAAAGACCAAAGAGCACATTGTTATTTGCAAAACTTTAAGAACACATATTACCTCTTGGAAAGCAATTATTCAGAGATTGATAAAAATGAACATCACGATAAAAGGAAGCAGAACAGCTATACTAGCTGTATATGGAATTAATGAGGACGCATTGGTCAACAGTAAAGATGCATTTTTCGAACAACTTGTGAACAACAAAGTGGGAAAATTGAACAACAAAGTGGTAGGAGCACATGGTGAAAATACCAGAAATGATAATGGAACCAGATTAATAACAACATGCACACAAAATAACTTAAAAATATTCAATGGATTTTATCCACATATATACACAAATACACGTGGATACAACAGACCAGAAATCTGAAATCTTTAATAGATTATAGCATTGTAAGACAGAGAAGGAATAGAGAAGGAAATTAGAGATAAACGTCGGAAATACAAAACATTCTTAACAACACAAAACAGAAAATGATAAAACAATTTACAAAGAAGCACAAGCTAAAGTAAGAAAAAATTCGTTCTTTTTTTGAATTGCCAAAAGATCGACACCTACATAGGAGGTAGAAGAAGCATAGAGAGTTGGAGAATGACTAAAAAAGTATGAGAAATAATAAGAAAAAAAGACGTTATATCACCAATAACAACAGAAAAATGGGAAGAATATTTCAAAAAATTACACTAAATATTAAAAACAGAACAAAGATCAGAACTTACTAACATGGAAGACAAAACGATAGGTATACGTATAAATTCATCACCATTACAAATAAATAAATCAGAGATGGAAGAAATAACCAAATCCCTGAAAAAGGGAAAATCCCCTGGTCCTGGTGACATCCCTGCACAATTAGTGAAAACCGGTACAGACAAACTCCAGGAACAGTTAAGAATACTCTTTCAAGACTGCTTGAATGGGGCCCAATTACCAAAAGAATGGAAATTATTTATCATATCAACTATCCACAAAAAGCTGGTTTTAGAGCTGGGCGATCCACAGTAGACCTTCTTCTTCGTCTTAGTCGTTAACCTGATGCAGGTATCCTGATATCATGAAGCTGTTAGGTAATTTTTCCAATGTTCCTCCACGTTTTTCCATCTTCTGCCAATCTAGCACATTCTGACAATGGAGCGCAATAACAGCAACAATATGGTCCATGTATCGTGTAGGAGATCTACCTCTACTTCTTTTGCCTTCTACTTTTCCCTGGATGGTAAGTTTTTCAAGACCATTTCTTCGAAGCACATGTCCAAAATAGCTTATTATCTGTTCTGTTATTTGTGTTCTTAGTCTTTTCTTTATGTTTAGCTGGACCAGTATGGATTCATTTGTTCTTCGGGCTACCCATGGTATTCTCAGCATTTGTCTCCAGCAGTACATCTCAAATACATCTATGTTCTTTTTGTCTTTCTCAGTAAGGGTCCAGCATTCCGATGCATAAGTAAAAACTGGAAAAACCAGACTTCTTACTAGTCTCATTTTTGTATCGGTAGTAATTTCATGGCTTTTCCAAATTTTTGTTAATTTTGCCATAGCGCTTTTTGCGATTGCTGACCGCCGCTTTATTTCTTCAGTACAGCCTCCTTTGTTGGTTATTAATGAGCCCAGATACACAAATTTATCTACAACAGCGATATTGTTTATTCTAACCAGATGATTTTGATTGTTGTTAGCTCTGTCAATTATCATGATTCTCGTTTTATCCCTGTTTATTTTAAGGCCCATCGTTAAGCTTACGTCTTCTATCCGTTGTAGCAGGTGAATCAATTTAGTTTCAGAACTAGCGAGGATAGTAGTATCATCTGCATATCTCAAGTTGTAAATCTTCTTCCCACCAATGGTGATGCCACCATTCCAGTCCTTAGTAGCTTTCCGCATTATCCATTCACCATAGATGTTAAATAAAATTGGGCTTAGTATGCAGCCTTGTCTCACGCCCTTTGTGACCCTGAAACTGTCAGTTAGTTCCCCATTTATTCTAACTCTGGCATAATTGTTATTGTACAGGCTTTTAATTAGCAGTATCAGATGGTTAGGGACTCCCATTTCAGACAAAACCTGCCACATTTTACTCCAGTTGACCAAATCGAAAGCTTTACTATAATCTATGAAGCACAAATATGTTGTGATGTTGAATTCTCTGGATTTTTCTACGTTTCTACGTTTAAAATTTGTTCTCTAGTACCACGTCCTGGGATGAAACCTGCTTGTTCCTCCGCAATGTTAGGTAGTAAAAAGAGCTTTATCCTCTCGAGAATTATGTGTAAGAGTATCTTACTGCAATGCGCAATTAGAGCAATTGTGCGATAGTTGCTACATAAATCTTTCGCTCCCTTTTTATGTATGGGAATATATAGTGATTGTGTCCAGTCCTCAGGCCATTTACCTGTCTTCCACACTCTTTGACAAATTTGATGTATTATATCCACTCCAACGTCATCTAGGGCCCAAATCATTTCAATAGGTATGTTATCTGGACCGGCAGCTTTTTGACTTTTTTGCCTCATAATTGCTGCTTCAACTTCACTTTTGAGTACGTCAGGTTCCGTCGCAAAACTGGCATCTTCTTGTTGTGATGGGGCGTCTGTGCTTTCCTCCATCATCAGTCGTCCACAGTATTCTTTCCATCTATGTAAAATATCTTTTTTAGAAGTGAGTAGAGTTCCGGTATCATCTTTGATAGCAGGGTAGTTTGGTGTAAAGGAACGTGTTATCTGCTTTATTTTTTTAAACATGTCTCTGGTCTCAGGTTTGGTTTTATGCCCTTCTATTTTCATGCAGATTTTTTTCAAGTGTGTGTTCTTGTTCTTTTTGCAGAGTCGTTTTATTTGACCGTTCAGCGCTTTATAGGCCTCTTTATCACTTTCACTGTTCAGTCCTGTGGCTTTTAAGCACTTCCTCTCCTGTATTTTAGTCCACGTGGAGTCCGTTATCTATTGTTTCCTTCTTTCTTCTCTATCACTCTTAATATTTTTCGCAGCAATATGCAATATGGATTTTGTTTTTGTCCACATGCTGTTTGAGGACTCGTCTGGATTTAACGATTGTTTGAGGTCACATAGCTTTTGCATTGCGGCTTTTTTGTACGGATCGTTATATCTAAGATGCCATTTAGTTGTTGTATTTCCTGTTTTTGGACTGTTTCTTAACTTCATGCGGAATTCAGCTGATAAAAATTGATGGTCGCTATTACAATCTTTTCCTGGATAGGTCTTAACATCCTTAACAGCGCTCCTCCAACGGGTTTTTACCAGTATAAAATCTATCTGATTTCTGTATCTATTTCCTGGTGATATCCAAGTGTATAGTCGTCTTGGGTGATGTTGAAAGCCTGTATTAGTAACAAACAGGTTGTTGTCTATACAAAAGTGTAGCAAGCGTTCTCCTCTGTCATTTCTTTGGCCAAGTCCATATAATCCGACGGTCTCTCGCAAGTAATGATCTTCTGTAGTTACACCAATTTTAGCGTTGAAATCGCCTACGACTGCTGTGATTTCTCTATTTGGAAGCTTCCTAAGCGTCTGCTCCAACGTACTATATAATGTTTCGATTTCTTCATCGTGAGCTTCGCTTGTTGGGGCATATGTTTGTACCACATTAAGATTAACTGGACTGGCATTCATTCTGACAACAATTATCCGATCGCTGACGGTTATGTATTCTTTTACGGAGGTTTTAAAGGCATTATTTACTATCACTGCGACGCTATTCCGAGATTCGTTATCATTGCCGGAGAAATAAATATCATTGCCATTTTTTGACGTAAAAGTAGACGTAAAAGTGACGTAACAGTAGACCACCTGTAGTCTATTACGC